CAATATTACCAGTGAGAAATAGTAAAGACATACTCCACAGGTTGTATTTCAGCAATATTACCAGTGAGAAATAGTAAAGACATATACCACAGGTTGTATTTCAGTAATATTACTAGTGAGAAATAAACACACACCACAGGTTGTATTTCAGCAATATTACCAGTGACAAATAGTAAACACATATACCACAGGTTGTATTTCAACAATATTACCAGTGAGAATAGTAAACACATATACCACAGGTTGTATTTCAGTAATGATACCAGTGAGAAATAAACACACACCACAGGTTGTATTTCAGTAATATTACCAGTGAGAAATAACAAACACATACTCCACAGGTTGTATTTCAGTAATATTACCAGTGAGAAATAGCAAACACTGCAGCTAGTATAAGTACATCTTTATTATTTTTATAATCGGGGAAACTACCCAATAAAAAAGAAAAATTACAATTTGATGCATTTCATTTAATTAAACAAATATATACACAAGAGCAACTGAAACAACAAGTCAATACTTTTTGACACAATTCATTCAGACTTGGATACAACTTTGTGTGAATGTTTTCGATTTATTTATTACATGCAATTAACATTAACAAGTTTTTTAAGTTTGAATAAAAATTGAAATAATTATTATATTTACATGGACTTATTGTGGACGGCATATTATAAACACATTCTCCAGCACAAAACCCTAATCTTGAATTTATTTGCAGTCATGTTTTGATCTAATATTAACTTTAGAAAATATGTTGTACCATATTTCAGTTTATGGTGTAGTGAGGGTGAAAAACACTGCACAATGCAGGAGTTGACTTTAAAATAAAGTAGGGCAGGTTTGAGAATAAATGAACAAATATACTTGTTTACGAGAATCACAACATTAATTCATTATTGGTTTTATTAAATATTATGAATGGGTTAGAAAAAACTGATAAAAGCAATTTTTGGCCGTAACTTATGACATTTGGCAATTAGACGAATTCCAATATTGTTTATGTGTACTACTGATATGTGGTTGCACTTGACTTTCTAGACTGTCACATTTATGAAAATTGAAATACTAGCCTAATTAAGGCATATCAGGGAATACTTGCTCAATCTGCCCAAAATTGAGGAGTTTTGAAAATTCTTTAATATTACAAAATAACTAATGCAAGAAATCAACACATTACAGAATAGAACACTGGATAACCATTGGAATATATCATGTGAACAGTCAGTTTCAATCTATTATACCATCTATTGATGTTAGGTAATTTAGATGCTGGATAAGGCACGATCAAATCACCATGAATATGAACAGGTGAAAAAAATTATGAAAT